GGCGGGGGGGAGGGCCTCCGGGGGGGGGGCAGCCCATGCGCGCCTGGGATGCCCCGCCGCCGGCTTCCCCCGAGGCTTTCAAAGCCACGGAGGGGCTCCGGCGGCGGGGCATCCGGCGTACAAGACGACCCCCGATTTTGGGGGGATGTTTTTTAACTTCAGAGGTCGTCTTGTACGCCGGAATATACGGTATTTCCCCCAAAATACACCCAGTTATTGGAGCTACTATTGTTAGATTTAGACTTAGAGGACTTGTCATTTATTTCCTCTCACATACACAGCTTTGGGGATTTATTATGGCAGAACATCTCCCTCTCTCCATCAGCTCACTAGACTCTTCGAATACTAGAAATGGAAGGGACCTCGAAAGGTCATCAAGTCCAGTCCCTTGACCTCACTGCAGGACCAAGCACCATCTAGATAGATGTCTGTCTAACCTGCTCTTAAACATCTCCAGTGATGGGAGATTGCACAGCCTCCCTAGGCAATTTATTCCTAGTGTTTAACTATCCGGACAGGAAGTTTTTCCTAATGTCCAACCTAAACCTCCCTTGCTGAAATTTAAGCCCATTGCTTCTTGTCCTATCATCAGAGGCCAAGGAGAACAATTTTTCTCCCTCCTCCTTGTGACACCCTTTTAGATACCTGAAAACTGCTATCATGTCCCCTCTCAGTCTTCTCTTTCCTACACTAACCAAACCGAATTCTTTCAGTCTTCCCTCATAGGTCATGTTTTCTAGACCTTTCATCATTTTTGTTGCTCTTCTCTGGACCTTCTCCAAATCCTTCTTGAAATGTGGTGCCCTGAATCAGCCACAATACTCCAACTGAGATCTAATCAGCACAAAGTAGAGCAGAAGAATCACTTCTCTTACTCATAGCACTCCTGTTAATGCATCCCAGAATCACATTTGCTTTTTCTGCAACTGTCTCACACTAACAACTCATATTTAGCTAGTGGTCGATTATGACCCCCTAGATCCCTTTCTGCAGTACTCCTTCCTAGACAGTTGCTTCTCATTCTGTATGTGTGAGACTGATTGTTCCTTCCTAAATAGACTAATTTGCATTTGTCCTTATTAGACTTCATCCTATTTATTTCAGACCATTTATCCAGTTTGTCCAGATCATTTTGAATTAGGACCCCATCATTTCTTGCTGAACGCTTATTCTTGTTATGCAAGTCTTCTTACAAAAAGGTATTTTCTAGGCTTAAATTCATTTTGTCACCTCAGCGGTTAAATATGACTTACAGAATTTGGAAGGACGTTGTATTAATGCATGCAAATAACTTGTTTAAAAATAAATATTTTTTTAGGTAGAAAAATGTATCAGTGTATTTTTATGCTTGTGTTGTAACTCCTAAGAAGAGTGTGTGACATTAATCTCCAGAAATGTAAATACATAGTGGTTCAACTAGTTACTGAGCCATCATTCTAAGTTAGTGTCTGAACCAAAACTGAACTGTACACACAGGAAATACCAATGAATCCAAACCAGAAAAGAACCAACATTTTTAATATTTCAACTTCCTGGTTTCATCTGACAATCTAATGTCTACACCATAAGTTTCCTGGGGCAGAGGACTGTTGTTATTACTACTCTAGCACAATGTAGAGATGTTAAATATATTGAATAGTCAATTAACCCCATGAATTCTTATAGGTTGCTTAACTATTCTATAATCCCCAAGGGTGGGGCTAGCATCCAGTGCACCCCAGCCCAATTCCCGAGGAGCCCCCTGCCACTCTGTGCTGCTGCTTCTGTTTCAGAGGCAGCATTGTGGGGTGCTAGGTGTGAGCTGGTCCATGAGGGGAGCCCGTTTAAAAAACCATATTCCCTCATGGACCGGCTGCCTGTCACCCTGTGCTGCCCTGTCCAGGGGAGCGGGGGCAGCGCACTAAGTTCCCAGACCCAGCGTGAGCCAGAACTGAGCCAGGCTGCCTACCCACCTTGCTCTTAGTACACTTTAAATACAGAGCCACAGAAGGGGTAGGTCCCGGATCCTGCGCAAGCTGGGACTGAGCCAGGCTGTTGGCCACCCTGCTAAAAATGTACTAGCAAGGGGAGGGAGGAAATGCATATAGCCTATAGCATTAACTGATAAGCTCTCGCTTATAGTTAATCAACTACACTATTACATCCCTAGCATAATGATCCTCAATGGGGGTGAGTGGGTGTTAAAGTAGTATAAACAAACAACATAACTGTAACCTGTTTGCACTGCATAGTTGATACATGGTAGCTGCTAATGAAAAAGGACCACATCCTCTGAAAAGAAACAGAAGACAGGTCTATGCAGCACTTGAAAGACTAACAAGATGGTTTATTAGGTGATGAGATTTCGTGGGCCAGACCCACTTCCTCAGATCAAATTGTGGAAGAAAATTGGCATGACCATATATATGAAAGGGATACAAAAAAAAAGTGAACACATGAAATTGACAAATCAGATTTTAGAAGGGGGAGAGAGGTTAGTGTCTATGAGATAATGATAATTGGGGAAGCTATCTTTGTAATGGGTAAGGTAGTTAGCATCTTTGTCAATTAATGCCCACAAATCAGACAGGTTCACAAAGAAAAAACAGTTTCTTGTCATTTCAACCAGACTGGGCATTGTCAACGACCTCACTACATGTATATTACTTCAAAGAGACTAACACCAGACTACAAAGGGAAACCTCAGAACTGTCATTCATGCTTAAATTTGACACTTTATGAATGGGCCTTAACAAAGATAAGGTGGGATAAGGTAGGGTGGGCAAGAGGTTGCCAGAAGGCCAGATCCAATCCACCAAGATACCAGATCCAGCCCATAGCCACCTCTCCGGAACCCTTAGGCAGAAAACAGTTCATATTTTAAAAAGCCATCTGTACTCCACTCCAGACAGCTGGAGAGGGAGAAGGGAGACTTCTCATGCTGTTCCCACCCCTCAGCAAAATCTCTTAGCTCCCACTGGCCAATCTCTCAGTTTCCAGCCAGTAGGAGACGAGAATTTTTGCTGGGAGCAGGGGTAGTGTAGGAAGCCTTTTCCGTCCTCATCCCAATCCCTCTTATGTCCAGAACAGAGCCCTACAGAGCAGCAAGCAGCCTGAAGCAGACAGTCTGCCTCAAGTTTCTGTTGGTAAGCACCTCCCAGCCAGAGTCTGCCTCTGGCACCCTCTGCCCCTCCTCCACATACCCAAACCCTCTATCCCCAATTCCCCAAACCCTCTACCCCCAATTCCCCACTCAACTCTGGCACCCCAATCTCCTGCCCCAGATCACAATCCCCTCCTAGCCTAGGTCACATCCAAAAACCTTGTCTTCCAGTCTCCTGCCCTAGGTCACAACTGTCTCCTTTACCCAAACTCTCTCCCAGACCCCATTCTCCCTCCTGCACCCTGAGCTCCCTTTTGCACCCAGCTTCCATCCCAGAATTCCTCCATTAATATCCTGGAAGAGTGTGGCCCTCGACCACTTTCCAAAATCTTGGAGTGGGCCCCCCCCCCCCGTCAAAAATTATTGCCTACTGCAGGGGTAAGGGAAACCAACTACAGAATGAAGAGCCCACACTAGCAAAATAAAATAGCGACTTAAAAAGCTGAGTAAGATGTGATTTCTGAACCGCCTATTGGAAAACAGTTATTATATAGTACGTTCCTGTAAACCTACCCTCTTCCCAGTTTTCACATTTAATTGTTATAATGACTCGTTCCTTAGTGTAACATGGGCAGAATCTACAGATACGATTACCTGTCACTGTCACTTACAATCCCCTATTTTCAGTTGTTTATAACTAACCATTTAGGCTAAGATTCTCCGTGCCAGATTTCTGCTTGAGACTTTTTTCAACCATTTTCAGAAAAAAAAAAAAAGTTCAACCTTCTCTGATAATGAGGTTTGTAAAAGCTACATAATTTTTGTAAAAGCTACATAATTTTCCCTATGTTAAAAAAATGTTTTTAATCGTTTCTTTGAGGAGCTCTAAAGTTTTGCATAGGAACTTGATATCAGGGTGGTGTTGAGATTGGATCTACCTTTTTGCTGTCCCCATGAAAAAAACAGTCAATATTTGGCAAAATTAAGATACAGTTTTTAAAC